TTCAATATTTTATTTAGCTTAAAGTCCATAATTAAGTCATTATTTAATAATTAGCGCGAGTTTTAGTCCATAAGTCTGTGATGCGTACGCCCTTTACTGCAATAAATTACATAATTTTACCTTCTATAAACTATGTACATAAATATGTCAACTTGTCCTAAACGCCAATTTTTAATTTATAAATACGCATATTAAACAAATATAATTTAGAATCTTATATTTAAGTTTGTTTTCGTAAGCATTTTGGACAACAATTAACCTTACCGAAGCTTTTATTTGCATCTTCAACTTGACAAATGACACTTAATCATATTGTAAATAAAAAACAAATCGTGTGGTGTATCTTGCACAAAAAGTTTAAATAAAATACATGCTATTGCTTTTACAAAAAAACAGAATATTTTATTTATCTCCTTTTTAGTTTAACAATTCCTTGAAAAAAGAAATCAACCCTAGACAGTAGACACAAAAACACCGGTTAATAAGTGCTGGTACATGTTAAATCACCTATTTGGACTGGGTGGTCTTCTTGGGTTTAGCTTGGGTACCCTCACGGAAACCGTTGCGGAAACGACGTCTGACCACTTTCAAGTAACGCACGCGACCAGTGCCAGTGGTCTTCCTCCTCTTAGCCTTCACTGACCAGTTGTCTGCAAGTTAAATAAAAATATTATAGTAACTGTATATACATATACATTCATTGTTAACTAAAAAATCAAAAATTGATTTCAAAAATCTGTATTTCAGATTGAAGCTCATGTCATGTCCAAAGTATTATTCAGATAAGCTAAATATAATTAGTATTTATTTAGTAGTTTTAAATATATGAGACACACTCGCCACTTTCATATAATTTGTGTTGTAGATTCATGAAATATTACTTTAAAGAATTATTAAACATCATATACCTAATGTGCGACTAAAAGTACCTATTAAAATCATGTACTTTAAAAGGAATAAATAATCCATGAAATACTGCTTGTTACTTACTACTAAAACAATTATTAAAGTCTCAGTACTTGTTTCGAACGTATTACAATCACTTATTACTAATCGGAAAATATGTGGGTATAGATTTAGCAATACCAGCAAAGGAATCGTATGAATTCGGAACTATCAAATTCAGATACGAATAGGGGCAAGTTTGCTTATTGTCAAACAGTAGCAACTTAGCTCAAATGCATGAAATTGTATGCGATTCAATGTAAACGAATGTTTGAAGTATTGTTGTAAGTAAATTTTCATTTACACAGTAGAAGTATTCCTGACACAAAATCGGAAACGCCATACGTCAAAGAGTTGCACTTTCCTTATCTACTATCACGACACTATTTAGAATTGTGCAGCAAAACCACGTCTGTAAAAGTAACCTCATTTTCTTAAAAAATATTTATATTTTCGATTAACGTAATATGCATACAAGTTAAATTAAATACTTACATGAACGCAACTTAGCAGCGGGATATCCACATTGGGAGCATGTTGACTTTTGAATGTGGTAGGAGGAACGTCCGCAACGACGGCACAAAGTGTGCGTCTTATTATGGCGTTTACCAAAGCTTGATGTACCTTTCGTCTATAGAAGAGAAGTGAGTTATTTTTAGTAATTTTGATCCAAATCAAGTGGCATAAATTTGTGTCGACATCACTATTTCAAATTTGCCATCATAACTCATTTAATACATTTGGTTCAGCACATCTTAAAACTGCTGAACTCCTAAGTATTCAGTTTGCTAGTGTAAAATAGCCATATTTTTCGATAAATTCACATTTGAACTTTAAAACGCAATCGTTTTCACTGATTTTCACAATATGATGGCACAAAAATTCACAGATTTAAAAGAAATTTTACATAAGAATTTGACCTACCATCTTGGATGGCGAAGAGCCGTAGAAGAAAGAGAGAAACGCTGTTGGAACGAATTGGAACTGAAAACTATTATGGCGAACCAAAATGTCAAATGTTAGTGCTGCCACATAGTACGAATATAAAATCGCGAATGGTAATGGCAGAGAACTTAGAGGAATGGTACCCTGCGAATATTAGCAATTAAAGACATGGCAGCAACATACATAAAGTGAAATAAATGGAATTGGAATTTAGAAATTCATAAAGGGGCATCTCGACAGGCAATTAATGATTCCTAAGGATCTGAATTGCTAACAGTTGTGCCAATGGAGACTGCACATTGATAGTGTTTAGCAAATGATGTAATACATTTATGCCATACATAGAATAGAATAGATAAGGGTAGAGGTTTGCACCGCGACCTATGGTCTATTGTGCCCTAACCTAGGTCACAGCCCAGCATATTGATACAATCCAATATACTGCTAGGTGTTAGTGAGGCGATGCGTTCCCTGTTAGGAAACATGGATCCCAGGGCCTTAACTCTGCCTCCTCCATGTCACAGAACCGGCAGTTTGCAGAAGGGACGAAGCCATTTACATGTATAGCTTCGTTACAAGAACAGTGACAGTCATATGACAGTCACAGCTGAAAAAATTTTATCAGCGCGCAGAACAAAGTTTCTATCATTTTCTTAAGAGCCTTGTGCAAAAATTGATGTTAACACATGGATATTCAGGATTGATTCACTATATATCTATACTGCTCACTCTCATGCCTTTTCCTGAGACATTGCTGATCATAAAACCATCAAAGCTGAATATAATATAATTTTTATTTGTTTTATAAATTTTAAACTTTTAATCAAAATTATTTATAATAATATACATAAACATAAAACAGATTGCAACAAAAAATATAATTAAACAATAAAATATGAAAAGGAATTTTCACTTGATGCCATCTCCTCCTCTTAATAGCTCTGCGTACGTCTTTCCTCAATCAGTTGATATTTCTGAATTTAAAAACGCAAATGGAAATTAACAAAATATATAGTTTTATTTGAAACTTATTTAACTTTCGCATGTTTGTATATCATATTTGAAAACTCCTCTCTTTCATAAAAATGTATATTTTTAACACCAAACCCAAAAGAAGCGTGCAACACTTTTCGTTTGTGGCAAGAAGAACACTAAAAATAGTTTTGCGCAGTTGTTGTGTAAAGGATTCAGCAATTTTATTCTTACACATGCAATGATTCGAAGATGTCTCTGTTTAACAATAATAGTGACGGTCAGTTGACAAGTAAACTCTCCGTCAGTACTGACATAATTAATGTGGGTGCATTGGTGAACCTATCAGCAGTTTCTTGTAGGGATGATGCCGTCAATTATTTTTCATACAATTTTCGCAAACGTTTGTGCTCTTCGGCTATGCGACGCTTAGAGTGTGTTGCACATTTCGTTTGTATGTAGGGATGGTGGTCTCACATTTTGCTTGCAAGGAATTACCATGAATATGCATAATACCCGCTTAATACAATAGTTTCAGAGAAATACTTAAGTCGGAAATTCCCTAATCCACCAATTCAATAAATTCTGAAAACTCGCTACTAATATTTTCAAGGTCAAATTTATAACAGGAGCTTCCTAATCTTTTGGGAAGTAGAAAAAATCCATAATTTTTTTACTTCATCTTTTTTTCTATTTATTATAAAACATCCTTGAATTAATTACAGTTCTTGTTTGAAATAAAATGATGTTCGAACTAACGAGGTTAAAAGCAATAAATATGAAAGCATTTTAATATTTTATGTTAATATAAAAAAGTAAAGTTGCCATTTTTATTAGAATTCTTTTATGTATATTCGTATATTATTACATTTAATACCGCTATAGATAAATACATAGATAGATTTTAGTAGAGGTATGCACCGCGACCTATGGTCTATTGTGCCCTCCCCTAAGTCGCAACAACTCATCTAGCCCCAGCATATTGATGAACTGCAATGATAGTGAAGCGATATGATCCACTATATGTTATTAAAAATTTAAATTGAATATTTTTGAGTGCCTTAGTTTTCTCCTTATTTACAATTTTTCAAAATATTTCTATTATTCTATGCATACATACTTGCATAATACATACAAACAAGTAAGGAAGGCTAAGTTCGGATGTAACCGAACATTTTATACTCTCGCAAAGTTAAATGGTATACTCGTTTGAGATTTCTTTGTGGATCGACCGATATTTTCGGTAGAAGGTCAACTATAGGCACTGGGGTCCACATAATCAGTACCTAGGGGCTTGAACAGTTTTGGTTCGATTTAGACAATTTTTAGTCACAAGGTGGCATACTTTAAACGTATTATTCACGCAAAGTTTTACCCCGATACAATCATTGTTGCTTGATTTGCATACTGAAAATTGAAAAAATCAGATGAAATTTAAAATGGTGTTATATGGGAAATAGACTTGGTTGTAATCTAATTTCGCCCATTTTCGCACTATAATATATAAATATGAAAAGAATGTTATGTGCTGAATTTGGTTGGTCACCTATAAGTGGGCGGTGCCACGCCCGCTGACTAATTTTGACCACGGTTCCTATATAGAGGAGATAAAATTTAATATCTCTGGCGTGTTTAGTGCTTGGTTTATCGCGCTTTTAGTATTTTTTAACAGTACCGTTATATGGGGAGTAGAAGTGCTAAAAGCATTTGCTTCCAGTGAATTTTGTTATTATAGCTTTAGCGGTTTAGGAGATATGCCCATTAAAACAAATTTTAACTGCAGATGCCCCTCCCTAATGTGATCCTGTGTAACAAATAACAGTCTTGTATCTTATTGCGGAGCTTAGTAATGGCAACTTATTTATATTTTATTAATGGCGTTTTGTGCGCGTGGCAGTGGTCCAATTACGCTCATCTGCAATACCAACCGTCTTACGGTACCAAGAAACATGTGTACCAAGTTTCATAAAGATATCTCAATTTTTACTAAAATAGCACGGACGGACGGACAGACAGACAGTCACCCGGATATCAACTCGTCTCTTCATCCTGATCATTTAAATATATATAACCCTATATCTAACTCGAATAGCTTTAGGTGATACAAACAACCGTTAGGTGAACAAAACTATTATACTCTGTAGAAACAAGTTGCGAGAGTATTAAAATAGATAACAGAATTCAAATATCTGAACGAATGGTATATATTCATTTGGAACGAGCGCTTTTGCAACCATTAGAAGAATTTGAAAAGGGTAGCAGCGAGCTATTACGAACAAGAACACAAAGCGTGCCGATCCCGATCACGATTGGAAGGTCCCTCCGTCTTTCCTCGTCGTCCCCTCAGCCATAATAAACCGGTTTGGATTACAAAAGAATCTGTGTATGAACTGGCTCTTTCGGTTAGATTTGTAAATATTGGCATTAAAAATCTCATGGAAATTTTTACAGAAATTTTAAGTAGCGCTCTCAGATAATTAACGGGCGATTAAACCGACAGTTGGCTTAAAGTAGCCATCATGGATTTATCTATGATTTTCCGTTCGTTCTTCAATGAGTTAACACGTGCTAAAATTTTATCCATGGCCAAAATCAAGTGGACTGACTGTATTTAGACAATAATTATTTGACTTCATTTATTCATTTATTTTTGTTAGTTTTTGTTTTCTAAATGAGCAATTCGCAAGTATGTCCCGTATGCACACCGATTGTCAAAATATATTTTAAGTTCTTTTGATAGCGACTACGGAATAAAGTGAGACAAAATAACGGACTGATAAAACACTCGTTCCCACGACAGTCGGGTCTATGTAACCGGAACGGACCCGGATTTTATCCGGACAAGAACTGTGAACTCGGCAGAATTCTGCCGCTACAACAACAACAACAACTGATAAAACACAATTCACATTTACATTTAGTGCTGCCACATTAATGGATCCCTTACTTAATTTTATTTGTTTCCCATTCTCAAAGATATTATAATCAAATATATCCCGTAACAAATTATAATTAAATTATATATTGTAACAGCAAATATCAGAAGAACTGAACAAAATTTTTGTCTGGATGTTATTCTGCATGCTTGAATTGGCAACACTATTTGTTATTTTGAAATCTATATGGCCACATATTTACCGTTCATACAGGGGTCAGATTACCTATGCAGATTACAATAAAGTTTTTTCTACAAGATTTTTCGCTTAATCTTTTTACCACATATCCTTAAAAGATTTTTGTTTGAACATGTTTCGTCGTGTGGGTGAAGAAGAAGATATTCTCACCTGTCCTTATAACTCATCACATCAGATATTGCGTTGTCGTTTTCAAGTTCATTTAGTTCGTTGTCGAAAGTCGCATCCAGACGCCAAAAAAGTTGTTTGTCCCTTCAATGTGACTCACCGACTGAATGAACAGGAGTTGGATGTAAGTTGTACATGGCTGTATATGAATCAAATTGTGTCCGAAAGAATACACCAACTAAAGTCGAACTACGACTAAACTGAGGTGTCGCAAATTGTTAATATACACTATTCTTACCATACATTGGTTATCTATATCGAACTTGATTTATATTTCCTATGGTAGTACATATTTATGTTGTTTGTATTGATTATTCACTCTTATTTTTTCCCTGTAGTGGCACGTGAGCACATGTTCAGATCGACAGTCGTTTGAAGTTTTTAGAAGCAACGATTCACATGTATTTGGATCATCAATGTCCACAACCTTTAATGGCGATGGAACAGAAACTAATTCAACTTGGCAAACTGCAAACACTTCTTTTGAATTGGAAACATCCCAAAATTGGGACGATCTGCCCAGTGTACCGTCATATGATCCTAGAGCCTACGCTGAAAAAGCAAATGTATTACGACAACCTGTTGGAATGAAACCATCAGAAAGAGTTGCATTTCGCAATGCTGAACGCAAACGATTGCAAAACTTATAGTTTCTTTAGTTAACTTTGCACAATTTAATTTATCTGCATTATATTATATTTGGAATTCTTGAGTTCTACTTAATAAACCTACATACAATACACATGCGTAACATACAAATTTATTAAACAATCAGAAATTAACATTACTATAAAATTTAAGTCAAAATATGCATATTGTAACATAAAAGCATTATGTGGAATATAGAAGCGTCATAAAAATTAAATATTTGTATTGTGGTATCTGATATAAGCATTTTTTAGCGAAACATTTTTATAATATACTCGTCACTCGTTACGAATAAAACTATAAATTCAATAAGGAGCGTCGTTGTAACGTGATGAATTCTTGCGATCATAACTGTAGCCACGATAAGCACCACGACCATAAGATGGCGTACGAGTAGGATACGCAACAAGAGGAGGATTCTGATTGCTGCTATTATTGCTATAATTAACTCTCTGATAAGAGGCGCCATTGCCGCTATTATAATAAGGATCGTCATCAATGTTATAAGCTGCTGGCGATGGCTGGATGTGGTACGTAAAAAAACGGTTGCTACTAGATCCAACTGAAATCCGAGATGGTGACGAAGGGGATGGTATATAGGAACCACGTACATGTGTGGGTTTGTAGTAAACAGAAGATTGTGGCGATCGACTTCTTGATCGGTCCCTCTGACGGGGAGGTGACGGCGAAATTGAACGTATGCGCTTAATTGAACTTGGGTCTTTGCTCTCATAATTTTCAATGACATCAGTTATTGAATTTTCTCTTCTCACCTCTTCTTTAAAATCATCGTCACTATCACTGTAACTCTCTTCATCTCCCAAACGTTTACGTTCTGTTTTAATAAACTCTTTTCGTTCTGCTGGAGGAATTCCTATTGGTTGGCGTAGAACGTCTTTCTTTTCTATGAATTTCTGAGGATCGTAATCATTAACTTCGGTATCATCCCAATTTTCTTCGCATTCAATCGGTGCATGAGAAACACGTTCTTCTTCCTTCGGTTCCGCTGTGTTGTATTTATATTGTGTTATGAGTTTTCGATCCGGACAGTTTGTAACATGTAGCTAAAAAGTAATAGTTTTATACATATCGAAATAAATGCTTCTAAATAAAGTATTTACACAGAATTCTGGTTCAGGTATGTGATGAGTATTGTTAAATGGACATTTTTGAAGCTCAAGTTGTGGATAGTTCACACGACACTTAATGAGATGGGGTTGCAACCGTTTGCGCAGCAACCGATGCGCTGGATTGTAGGGACACTCCACTACATCATTATCGTTCTCGAGGGAAAACATTATTAAGTATTCCTGGTAATTATTGCAAATATAATTATAAACTCTATAGTTGCCCAAAACTAAAATCTATCCTGTAACAACACAGAGTAAGTTCATAATATCTGACAGTAAATTATGAATGTTTGTAACAATTAGTTCTGTTCGTTTTATAAGCATGTGTTACCAATTATTTTTCTTCCAATGTTGCCGAGTATAAAAACTTGTTTTCAAATAGGAGACAAATTTAAACAATATAATTGAGAAAAGTGTGCAAAACTTGTAAAAGAGCGTTCACTATTTTTAAAAGTTATGATCTTTAAATATCTCGAAAACTATAATTTTTTAACCCTGAGCACCTCTATCCGTCCATGTTAATTCCATCAGGGCGAATAGATTTGGAAGATTTTGCTTTGTTGATGACACTCTGAATCTCCTAATCGGTGAAAGTAAGAGGCGCGCAGTCTCTTGGTAGTTTGCGCAGCCGTCGAGTAACTCATCGTTTGTCTTTGTCTGTAGAAAGGAGCAGTTGTTGTTTTTGTTATGCAGTGTAAACTAGCGGCTAAAGTAGGTCACGCACTTCTTCGGGTCCGAGGAGGCATCGAATTGGATTTCAACCCGGTCGTCATGCCGATCTGGGGGTGGTGGTTGTTGTTTGACGACGCTACTTCAGAGGGTTGCGGGGGCAGACTCCTGCAGAGCGAGCAACGTGCGCCACACTCCACTCACAGGAGGAACCAGGAGTTGCTGTGGGTTTTAAGGCCTGAACAGATCTTAAGATGGCGCCATCCGTGGCATGAGTTTCACCTAACCGAGGTGGAGTTTGGATGGAGCCTCTTGGCGCAAACGCATCAGAAAAATTCTTCAGGCCCAGGTTGGACTCAATGCCGGCTCGGGTTAGGACAATGCTGCTAGGAGTTGCCCCAGTGAAGACAAAATTAAACTAAAACTCACCGATCCAAACGGGTTAAGATTGCCGAAGTAACAACCCTTGGCCGGATAAAAGCGGCTGTTGTGGGAATTGCGACAAATTATGCTCATTCATAGTTGTAATGTACATAAAATTTCAAAAAGCTTAACAAACTATAGTTTATCGCTTTATAAGATTGCTAAACAATGCATAACTATCATACAAAAGCGCGCTTCCGGAAACAATTTTGTTTTTCCAAAATATTTATTTTTATCTAAAATGAATATATGATATATAAATGATACATGTATGTACCAACTATAAACAATAATTTTTTTAATTTTTAGTTATTGACTATAATTATTTAATTGACACGTTTACTTATGTTCGTATAACCGATGCCTACACATGTCATCAAAACTTTTTGGGCGCCTGGCAAAGCATCCTCTTCGTCATCGTTTTCAGGATTTTCTAGCTTAAACGTTATTGAAAAGAAGTCTCTCAAATTTTGTAGAAAATGTATCGTATAAGTAGAAAGTGGGCCTACAATAAAAACATTTTAAATAAATAATTTATATTAATTATACTTCACAAAGTCCATTTACCAGTTAAAAATTTCGAAACATTCTTCTGACTCAACGCCATAAATAGGGTGACAAGCCATTGATACGATGAATCACATGAGCCTCCACGGTAAATTTCATCAAGCAATTTCATTGCAGCTTCGCGTCCCAAATCTTCAGGTACAGAAGGATCTTTCCCCTACAATAAAGGAAATGCAAAATATATCACTAAAATTTAATTTAATTATGACTAACTTACGTCTTCCTTGCTGTTTGAGATACTCTCAGCGCCATAACAAACGTCATCAGTTGTTTCCGCTACCAAACAAATACCAAAGCCTGGTGAATTACCAGACATTTTACCACGATTTTGATCAGTGTATATATATACGTCGGGAAGGAATTTTAACATCACTCCTTTTGCCGCTTCTACAGTACGATTGGCCATTGCAGGTGATACTTTGCATGCGTATACGGTACCGCGAATTCGTTTTACCATGCCTTGGGATTGAAATTGTAGAGACCGAAAGTTCTTACGTACCGGGCATCGGAATTGAACTTCACCACCGCCAAGAGGAGCTGCACCTCTTTTGACAATTTTAAGTTCTAATCCTTCATCCACAACTAAAAATCGTTTAAGAACCGGAATTGCTGAGCCTTTTATGTGATCTACTGATGGCGAGTCTTTACTATTTGTTATGCCTTTTAAAGTTGCATTTATTGGATTTTTACAAAATGGACCAAGAGCTATTAGCGCATCCAAATAATAGCTTATACCACGTTGAATGCAGCAATCGTGGTGCAGCACACCACCATGCAACAGACCCGGTGAAAATAGAACTGAGGTGCCCGAGGGATTGAGTTCAATTTTGGTACCATTTGTTAGCTTATCCAATAATCTTATTAGACCTATTTCATATTCACGCAAACCGGGAGCCGTATCATCATCAATGTGAATTTGTGTTATCTGTACAGGCCTTCCACTAAGACAAGACAGTATAAGGCGCTTAACAAGAAACAAAATCTATAGTAACAATCCAAACGTACACACACATCGATGAAACTTACCTGCTTGAGAAAATTGCTGCCTCGGTAAATGAGACAATTACCTTCCTGTGATATGGGCGGCATTTTAGAAGTTTAAACTTAATCCAGTATTCAAAATTAAAGAAAATACAAAAATAATGCACATTGTTTTCTTTCGTAAAGCGCACATGCAAATATATGGAATGGATAAATGTCAAATAGTATAAGCAATAAGAACTTGGCAGCACTATTCCTAACACTGAGAAAAATTAAGCAATGCCAGAACAAAATAGAATCAACAATAAATTGTCAGTGGCGAAGTTTGAGCAGAGAATGTAGATTATATAATTATAATAATAATAATAAGATATTATAATTTATATTCTCTGCCTTCTCTATAATCTACTATCTCTGATTTTAGTATGGTAAGTAATTTTTATAAATTTGCAAATTGAATAGTTGGCAACTAGGTCTACACGAATCGACAGTTTTTCATGCACAAACCATTTTGAAATATTTAGGTGGTTGTCAGTTAATTGAATTGTAGCAAGGGATCAAATGGAGGAAAATACTGCTGGAGATATTGTTACTTGTCCTTATGATAATGCACACCGTGTCCTAAGGAAGCGTTTGCAATTACATCTAATTAAATGCCGTTTGAATTATCCACATGTGGAATTACAAAAGTGTCCATTGAATCAATTACATTTGGTGCCAGAGCAGGATTTCGAGGTACGTGTTTTCGAATAGCGGTGAAAAACTGTAATAATGTGTTTAATTTTAGCGGCATTTAGTAAATTGTCCTGATCGTAAAATAATTGCACATTATAAATACGTTGATGAGATGACATTTCTGAAGCATGACCCAATTGAAAGTGAGGAAAATTGGGATGACACTGATTCTGGAAATTATAATCCCGAAACATACGCTCTTAGCAATCAAATAATACGAAAACCTGTCGGTCCACCATCAAAACGTAAAGCATTTAAACACAAAGAGGAAGAACGTTGGCAACAGTTTGATTAAGTGATAAATTAAGCGCTTATTCAAACATATATGCATGCCATTCTGCAAACATGTACATACATACATATGTACATATATATTTATTCTTGGAATACTTGGTCATATTTAAATACTTATATAAATACATATATTTTATAAGAGAAATGTGTTTAAATTTTTGCTGATTTTATTTTATATGTACAGAAATTCAATAAGGTACACAAATTGAGTAGTAACACAATTAGTCGTGGTTCTAATTTTCGATAATCTCGCAGAGGCCGACTAAGGATTTTAGCTTATTAATCCTACTTCTGGTTTTTGTCACTTTTCCACGACTGGTGTTGGCCATGATATGTGCTTTGCTTTTGGGCAGGAGCACTCTTGCCGAAAGGACTCTTTGGATTCACCGTCAGAATATAATCACCCTCCAAATCGAAATCGGTAGAGATACCCATGTAAGCGCGTTTGCCAGAGCCATCATTATTTTCGTATTGGTCCATAGAGTTGGCGGCGACAGCAGGGAAGTTACGTTCATTACCTGGGCGTACAGATTCGGCGAAGTAACGAGTTGCACGCATGGTTGCTTCAATTACATTGGTAGCGCCTGGAGCAGTAGAGGCTGGACCGTTGACGTAGAAGTCGACATCACCCACGCGTTGGCGTGTACCCATTCCACAAGTCGAAGTATGAATGGCATCAACGAAATCAGCATCACCACGGGCCAAGCCGGATAATAAATCCTTTTCCTTAGCGAACATCTTGGCAGGGTCCAAAGCGGTGATGCGACGGAGTTGATGACCTGTCAAACGTTTGTATTGACGTCCAGCGGCACCGGCAACTTGTGCGCCAACACCTTGTCCAACAATATGAATGATCTCTTGAGGTACATCACATTCGTTGGTCAGTTCGACGAGAGCTTTACCGATCATGTTACCGGTTTGTTCCACATCAATAAGAGCCAAACGCTTCATGTTGGTGAGTGTGGAACCCAAGCTGATGATCTAAGCGAGTAAACAAAAAATAGTTTTAGTACCATGTTAATGATACAAAAATAATAATATACACATGTGGTGTACTTACGACAAGGTTGCCCTTTGTGGGTTTCGGGTTTTTCCACGATTCACTATAGTCCTCTTCACTTGAAGTGGCACCTTGATTGTCCTTATTGTTGCCGTAGTCATAGTCCTGGTTATTGCTGATTGGTTGACGCTGTCCGTTATAGCGTTGCATGTAAGCCTGGATTAACTTTTTGTTCGCCTTTGCAACAGAAGGGCTCGACTGTGGCAAACCAGTGATGAAAATGGTGACTTCCTCATCGCCAAAGTTGGGTTGTTGCTTGGCAGTCTGGACTAGTTCATTGAGATTGGTGCGCTCGGGCTGTCCATTGGGTTTCATCAAGATAACCGGTACATTATTGGGGCTTGGAACAAATGACGGTTCTAGAGCCTGATTAATTTGCGACAAATGATCTAAAGGAAAAAAAATTGTGATATACATATAGTAAATTAGAAATACCCTAACAGTTTTTAAAACACTTACACAGCTTCTCAATCTTTCGCTCGGCATCTTCCATTGACATGTTCTCCAACTGTTGCAATGTGATATCCTCGACTGATGGCATCGATTCTAATTCAGAGGCCGATAACCAATCGGTGGGTTTTAAGCTAATCGTGTTATCCTTGTTTTTGCCCTGCTTGGGTGAAGCATTAACGGCGGTTAATACTAAAGCCATAAAGCAGAAAATCTTCAGCGGATTCATGTTGATTACGTTTGCTAGTCGGTTTGAACTGTGTCTATAACTTAATTGTCGGTGATTTATATACGAAAATATAATCTACTTTTAAAAGCCCAACATATAGAAATTTTAGAAAAACACCTTATATAATTTTTTGCCATAATTCTCTGAAAGTATAAACATATGTACGTATATACTATGTGTACAATATGTATGTATATGTTTTAGATTATAACCCATCAAAAACTGTTTACAGGTATTCTGAGCACTCTTGTTACCTCTCTGCTCTGAGTATGTGACTGCAGAAGAGCGTTGACCGTACCTTGAACGAGAACCCAACTAATAGACGGCAGTTCACTTTGCGCGTATGATTTTCGCTGAATTGCAGATTTGCTGGTTGGCGCAACAACAACACTATACATATGTACATACATACTTATGTATAAACAACTTTATTTTGATAAAATGTTATGCGTTGTTGTAAGTGATAAGGGCCAACAATGCAACCTGTGCAGTTTGAGGGCTACTGAGGGATAGGCTACGTACATACATATGTATATACAAGGGGTACATATTATATTATTAATCAATGTAAACATTTATATATGTATGTATGTATATATATATTCTGGAGAATTGATTATACGCGAAAAAGTTTTGTAAAATTATAGGTGAGATTGCATTGTATAAATCTATATATAAATCTAAGTTTATACAATGTGAGATTGTCTAATTTGAATATGAAAAATTTCTTAGTTGCCATAAGCCCGCAGTTGATAGGTACTGATATTAAAATATCAATATAGAGAATTATATCACAAATACACTCTGTCTGTCCGCGCCAGCGATAACCTGAGTAAAAATTGAGATATGTATGTATGTGATAAAAATTGCAGGACATGTTCCTTGGCAGAGGAGCTTTGTATTTCAGATGGACAAACTTGGATAATTTCCACTTAAAAAAATAAACGCTATTAATCGGTAAAGTAGGAGGGCTCCCGAGCAACTGTGATAAAAAATGTTTAAAAGCGGGTGTGATTCCGCCTATGATGGGTATAATATACATATTTCCCAAAGTACGACAGATACCACGTTGTTTATTATAGCCTAACATCTTCGATGGTAACTTGCAACTAAGTCTTCCGCATATTCCACAGGAAGCGAACTCCTGGTTTGCTGCAGTAGCCGAATGAATAATTTTATTGACGTTAAATGTTTTCTTGAGATATATAACGTAAACTTAATATACGCTAAGTTTTCGGCAATGTTTGTAACATCCAAAAGGAAACGTCGGAGACCCTTTAAGGTATACGAGGTGAGTCGATTTAGGTATCCGTAGTCACTATATCATAAAGCTGCCATACAAACTGGCCGATCAAAAGCAAGTTCTGTAAGGAATCTTTTGTAATTGTGAAGGGGTGCAACTGAGCTAATGTTTTTTCTTTCATTAAAGCATAAAGATTATCTATTGGATTGGCGTCTGGTGACTTAGATGGCCTATTTAAAGTAACGATATGGTTTTCTTGTTTCTACTAAGTATAATATATATTCCTGCAATATCCAATTATGGTTATTTGCCGTAACGCATTTCAGCTGACTTCAGTAAACCCTTTTTATACAATTTTGTCCTTCTCTTAACGGCGTGCAGATTTTCTGTAAAAGCGTCCCAAAACCCCAAAGTCATGAGCAGAGAAACATCCATAACATTTTGAGTGCTTAACACTTATGTAAATTAATGTTTGTTCTTTTCTTAGCCAAAAACGTTACAAGGGGTTGAACAGTATAAAGGTTGATTTGTATGTAAATATTACTTTGTTCCAATCACGGTTGCGCCCAGTGCAACCCTTTTTCAATGTGTAGTTTGGAAAGTAGGGGTTTGATAACAGTTTTGCTGCGTTTGATGTTTTGATTCCTTAAGTCTGTCTCGTATTGTATTTAGAGATATATCTAATCACTTTTTAAAGAAATTTTTTTTAGCTTCCCTAAGACTGCGCCCTTCTCAAAAAGGTCAGTTCACCTCTTTTAAATACTTTGCAGTTTTTTTAATAGTCCATTTGCGACCTTTAAGATACTTCGTTAGAAAGGCTGCTTCAAAATGTTTCTTATACTGAGAACTCATTTTTCTTATATCCCGGCACCACAGGAGTCTACTGAACACGGAACAATTCCCACAACAGCCGGTTCTGCGATACCGGAATTGACCCGGATTTTATCCGGCCAAGCGCTGTTATTTCGACGATCTAACCCTGTTTGGATCGGTAAGTTTTAGATTAAGTTTGTCGTCACTGGAGCAACGCCTAGCAGCAGGGTTGCTCCGTATCCTCCTGACCAGTGCTGGCATCGAGTCCAACCCGGGCCCCGAGGAATTCTACTGCTGCGTATGCGCAAAAAGGCTCCATCCAAATTCCACCTCGGTTAGGTGCAATACATGCAATGGATGGAGCCATCTTAAGACCTGCTCGGGCCTTAAGACACACAGGGAGTGGCACACCATGTTCGCGCACTGCGCTATTACTCCAGTCGAGTGGCCAAGAAAAAGAACCTCCACGGTCCCAAGGAGCTCACACAGACAGCATAACTCCCAATCTGACCA